AAGGAAGGAAGGAAGGAAGGAAGGAAGGAAGGAAGGAAGGAAGGAAGACCACTCACAAGAACACATGTATTTCACAGTGTTATGTTCAGCCTTATAACCTAACTTGTCTTGAGGCACTGTCATCCCTTCAAAAAAGAGAAGGGGGACTCAGTTTTTCAAATATGTTTGTATTCATACTTGACCAAAGTAGAATTCCAGGTACCCAAATCTTATGCACTATTTCCAGGTACCTTGCTCATTTTCCACACTTGAGCATCAACTTGGGGAACATATGTGAGCAGCCACTGGAAATTTTCCATGCTTTTGCAGAGAGCCAAACATTGGTTCCAAGACTATAATTTTCTCTTAGTGTGAAAAATGATTTAGAAATGCTTTTAGGGAAATTTTTTTTTAAAGTTTTCTTCTTTTTTATTTTTCTGAGCAGAAAGAAATACAAAGAAGCTTAATTTGAAACTACATTTAACTCAGGAAACTTTTTTTCCTAGCCTAGATTTGAGTATTTCTATTATGGTCATATTCTCAGTTCAGCTATGAAAGGGATGATTGGGCCACTTGTCAATATCACTTAGGAGATGCTATTATAGTGGTTTTATTATTGCGTGGTCACCCCAATATACTTATGGTTTTAAGTTAGAACATCATGAATTACTTCGCTGTTAAATATATACCCAAATCCACCATATTTACCTATTATGCATGTATGACAGCAAGACCTTAGCTCCCAGAGAGAGAAAAAAAATTTCAGCATCTTGATGGAACCAGAAGACTGAAAGAGAAATGTGCTATCATAGCCACATTGAGAATTACAATTCAAAATTAAAAGGGTGCATTCCAGTCAGGAGGGGTGTAGGAAAGAAAGGTGCATTTCTAGCAGCAACTCAGCCTTTGTTTAATGAATAGATGAACAGGTTTGTGTAAGTGTACATATCCAGAGTACTTTAGACTTTCATCCATCTTTATTCTGAGGGCCTCGCAGTAAAATGGAGAATTTTTTGTTTTCTTTTTTTGGTTTTTGGTGTTTTTTCTTTAAAAAAAAAAAGGCAAAAGAGCTCTTGAATAGCTACAATGTGAAACTTGTTGAGAGATGCAATAATATCTTAAACCCCAAGAAATAAAAGAAACACCTGTATGACTATAGCTACTGGGAACTTGAGCCCCGAGCAGTTACAAAATTAGGTGTTCCCTCTCCTTAGCAGGAGAAGTAGAGGTTTTATTACTGTGCAATCCCAGTAATCTATGATTTGAAAAACGAGAACAAGCAAAACAAGCAAGACAGTTCCTCATACACTGCTCATAGCAGCCCACGTGCTGTATTGTTTCTTATTTCGATGACTTTGCTGATGCCATTCCATGCCCATCTCTTTTTCCTTCAGCCAATTTCAACTCAGTCCATAAAATTCAGGTCATACATAATGACTCCAGGAAGCCGCCTCTACCCACCCGACCTGCCAGAGGGTGTTATTCATCTTCGGATCCCAAACACCCAGACCAGTGCCTGATGTGTAGAAGCTAATCAGTAAATGTTAAAAGAATGAATGAATTCACAGCAAGCTTCCCTCTCCAGATCTTTCTCTAAGACAATTTACAAAAGGATGGTATCTACCATACAAAGAATATCTGGCTGGCATATAATTTTCAGCTACCATAATCATCTTTGGCAGTGATAATTTTCCCATGTCAGGGCTATCACTTTACCACTTCACCCATAATTAAAGCAAAGCAATGAAAGATGTTTAGACATCGGTATTATTTCCTCACCCCTGCCATGGACCTGAGTGGAAGAGGCTTCCCCAACTCCACTGTGCTGCAGAGAGACGGGCCTGAACCAAGCCCTGTCCTGTGCCTGCATTACTTCCATTGCAACCCCGTTCCTTCTACCGATTAGGACACGCCCTCAGCTACAAGGGTCAGCTACAGTCATCCCTACCCTAAACCTGGATGGGTGGCATGCAAAAAGGAAAATACGGTGAAACTTTTGTGCATATGATATATGAGGACTTTGTAAGCAACCAAAATGTTACACTTTTGATTTGTATCTGCTACAAAAAAAAAAAAAATCTCTTTTAAGTTCTGCTAAAGCCATTAACAAAAACTTTAATTCTTAATCAGTGGAAGAGGCTCAAATATTCCTGAGGCAAAGACACTGACCTTTTTAATATTTCTCTCTCAGGAAAATAAATAGGCTTTTTGCTTGGGGTAGAGCTCCTGGGTTGTTTTTTAAGCAGATATTTAATTAAGATCATGACAATTTATCTGGATTTTTAAACTTTGTTGTGTAAGTTCCATAAACTATAAAAAGATTTCTTCAGACACAAAACAAGGATTTGGGCCTCTTCAAAGCCTAAGAAGCTTTAAAGAAAGGCAGCAGAAACAGCAAAGCAGCAGAGATGACAAT